AGGGTAAGCTGTAGAACTGATTTTCTTTAATGGGCTATTTATAACATGTTCTCTCCATTTCCCAAAGTCATATATTGGTAGCTCTGGCTATATGTTTTAACTTTTGCTAAAGATCTATCCAATGAGGAGGTAACAAGAACTTTATGTTTAGATTTCACTGGTTAAATAGAAAACTTTTCCATTCCATTCATCTGTCTTTTCTGACAGGCTGATGGTCGAAAAAGGATTACCTGCCCTTTGGATAAGAAACAGTAAGATCATCGTTATTTAGACATGATTGATCATCGTAGTTATACACACAACTTAAGCAGTTCAAATATATGATATTTCATATATTCACTTGTATTCTTCACCATCTACCAGTATATTACGAACTCACAATGTGACCAGCTCCCAGTTGGCTTGATAGCTCAGTTGGTAGAGCACTGCACCGGTATCGCCTGAATTGTTTTTTTGGGCTTTAATTTCACAACTGCTTAAGTTGGGTGTGTAACTGCAATGATCAATCATGTCTAAATATCTTTCTCCGCAGTTTAAATATATGATATTATATATATTCACTTGTCTTCTTCACCATCTATGGGTATATTACGTTACGAACTTACAATGTGACCAGCTCCCAGTTAGCTTGATAGCTCAGTTGGTAGAGCACTGCACCATTATCGCAGAGGTCATGGGTTCTAATCCCATTCAGGCTTAATAATTTCACAGCTGCTTAAGTTTTGTGTGTAGTCTGAGCAATTCACTATTGGGTTTGCTTTATCTGTGGCTGGAGGACAAAGTGGGGCGAGTTTTTTTTCCAGCCAATTGCTTAGCATAGTAATGCAAAACCAAATCACATAATTTTATGAACATTTGTGTGAAACCACTCTTATTGATTGGAAATAATCATAAGGTTTCTTGGGTGTTTTAAGAGACTGCTGTGTTCAGGATTAAGTTTGCTTTAGAGTTGTTTTAAATGTATTGTGCTTGTTTAGGGTTGTTCCTTTTTGAATCATTCTAGCACAGTATTTGAAGACCAACTTGAAAAGCATCTAATTCTTTCATGCAGGTATACTTCAGTGCTAACATCAACTCTGGTATACCCAATTATAAGTTTTCTCCTGCTGAAAAGGTACTATTTGGGAATGTTTTTAGTGTGATGCGTTATCCTAAAAATTCAAAGATACCCTGCCTTCTCCCAAAAGAAACTTCCTGAAAATAAATATCCCAAAATTCAGTTCCAAAATTTAAAAAGTGAGCCCATGCATTTCTAATATTTAGAGTTAGCTCTCAAAACAATGTGGACAAATTATCCTCATTTTACAAAGCATTAATTTTTATGCATATATGCTTTTGTTACATCATTTAGAGAGTTAACACATATACCTGCACTTGACCTAGCAAATTGAATATACATGTAAGACTTCTGATGCTTTGGTAACACTCATGTCTACTACCTTGCTGGAATTCCTTATTGAAGTCTTGCCTGAAGGTGTCATGGTAGAGGGATTGACAGTGTTTGGAATTCACGCTCTTATGCTGGCGCTTTGAAAGAAAATGCCATCAACCTATACATTTTCTGAAAGCTTAAGAGTTACAGAATACAACCGTATCTTTGGAATTTTTCAAAAGGTTATTGCCACAGTAATATTAAAAGAAATACCCAGAAACACTGCTTCGCTTAAACTGGTTTGCTTCTGCGGGTGAATTATTGGAGTGGCGCGATTAACATCGGAAATGTTTTCTCACTCATCACCCTCAAAAATGGTGTCGGCGATTTTCCAGATGTGGTTTGGTGTTTTTTCTACACCCTCCTAAAGTTTGATATTTTCAATGTGGACGTTTCCTTCCACTAAAGAGGCCATAACTTTGAAACGGAAGCGAAATTAAACAAAGCCCGACACCCTTTTTCGAAGGAGGTATTCTGGTACATACCTGCCAATTTACAGCCAATTCCATCGGAAGACGCGTGTAAATGAATTAAAAATGTTCATCCTTATATGCAGTTTTATTTTATTGAGACAAAGAAGAAAAACCTTTTATGAGATTGGTATGATTAGGTGTTGAAAATCCCCTCCGCACTGACAGATGTTGGTATAGGTCAGGTTCCCACAACAATGGCTTATGACAACTTGAAAGAAACAGACATCTGCAATTCTGGCGTGGAAACCCATCGCAGTGAAATCGTCCAAGAAGCGACAAACTACCAAGAGCTTTATACAGGTTTGTGTTTAAACTGCTGTGATTTCTTTTACTTAGAAGATTTCGTTGGTGGCATTGGTATTATGTTGCTCAAGTTTAGGCTTCTTCGTTCTCCAGACACTTTTTGAAACCCAAAAAGAGGAAATCTCGAAGTCTGCATTGTCTACATCTACATCTGCACTTGACTCTCTTGTTGTGGAAGTTTCGGAATCACGTCTGTTCTCCAGCAATTTCGTGCGACTAGCTCTTGTTGTATTTTGTCCTTCAGCTT